TATGAGTAGGGTGTGTTGTGTTCGGTGGAAGATGCATAGCTATCTTCTGATCTGCCAGCCGGGCGAAGGCGGCATAGGACCGTGCCACACCACTAACGAAATGAGGAAAATGCGAGTGCATCTTCCTTAGCAAGGTGGACAGATTCATCTGTTATTACTATAAATAGTAACGGACGTACCTTGCAGCCTTCTGCGGGAAGATGCACTCACGTTTTTCTCGTTTCGTGAGTGGTGTGACGAGGCCCATAATCCCCAACTCAACTTTTTAAGGTATCGAGTGATTCGACAAATTCAACAACATTCACAAAATTTCGATAAAATTAGATTATCTTCTCTTCCACAAAATGTCAAAATGTCCAAATGAAAAAATCCGACAAAATCATGATTAAAATTTGACAATGAGCGTGTTATGTCATCATGCCCACCCCCTCTCGTTGCTCTGCTGCAAATTCTCACCCCAAAGAACCCTCGTATGATATATCTATCAGGTGCCCACTTATGCAAAGCAACTGCAGTTATGTTCCATGAAAAAAAACTACGGCAATAAATAAAATGCCCTTGAACGGATCCCCCCCCCAAAACAGTGTTTTCATAACCAGTCAAAATTTTGGCAAATTCTTTAAAATTCGTCACTGCTATAAATCTGTTATTCATATAACAAACGGGACAAGCTTTCTTTGGTTTTCACCCCTCCCCTTTCCCTTTTCCTCCTCTCTTCCTCCCCTCTTCCTTCCCTTTTCCTCCCCTCTTCCTCCCCTCTTCTTCCCCCCTCCGTCCCATCCTCTGTGTCCATCCCGCATCCACCTAAAAAATACCCCTCCTCCTCCCCTTCTCCCCCTTGATGTCAGTTGTTCCTCTACCCATTCGCCTCCCTCCTCCTCCTCTTTCTCTGTGAACCTCCCCCCCCCCCCCTCTCTCCCTCTCTCCCTCTCCCTCCCCCCCCCCCCCCCCCCTCTCTCTCTCTCTCTCTCTCTCTCTCTCTCTCTCTCTCTCTCTCTCTCTCTCTCTCTCTCTCTCTCTCTCTCTGTGTGTGTGTGTGTATGCTATCCTAATCAATAGTAAGCAGGGAGGTTGTCTTTTCTGAGTGAAGGCTTGCAAAATTAATTTACAGATATCGCAAGCAGGGAGTTTGTGTTTTCTGCTCCGTCGATGGTGGCTCCGCCATCCAACATTACTGACACTCACTCGGATTCCCATGTTCAGTCCGTCGCATCGTCCGTTCAGATTCAATTTCACCAGCAGGTCGGTACCGAGGCGAAGATGTCGGACGCTAAGATGTGGAATGGAGGTATGTGCGACTGCTGTCTTCCTGGGGGCGACGGCAAGGACGGCTGCTGCCTCTGTATGCAGACCTTATTATGCCCTTGTGTGACATTCGGACAGAACGTGCAACGAGCCGGCGCAGGCAGTTGTGTACTCCACGGGCTCCTCTACTTCATCATCACCACGGTGCTCTGCCTCGGACTTCTCTTTCTCGCTTATCTTTTCCTGTATCTTTGGCTTGGTGGACTTGTGATTCTGCTGCTCGCCTTGGGGCTGTATGGCGGTTGCTGTAGAGCTCAGATTAGAAACAAGTACAACCTTCCAGGTGGACCTTGTGGGGATTGTTGTCAGCACGCGTGCTGCTGCTTCTGCTCGCATTGTCAGGAGTACCGAACCTTGACCAACTTTACCCACGGAGAAGGGACAGGACACCGCGGCAATCAAGCCCTTCCCATGGTCGCTCCTCCTGTGACTCGAGTTATTCACTGACAAACAGACAGTCTTCACCTTCTGACGTGTCAGG